GCTGAGGGGAGCAGTGGGCGGGTCAGGAGAGGTCTGCCACACCATGTGGTCACCTCCAGGGCAGGCAGGAATCGAACTCATGCAGAAGCGGCTTTAGATTCTCAATGCTGTGCTTTAACCCGCTGCACCACCAGGGAGGGCCCTTTTGTCACTACTATTAACCTTGCTTTGTTTTTGCTAACCAGAAGAATCCAAAAATATCAGATAAAAAGATCCTTTGATGGCAAGGAATTATCCTTATTTAAGTATCACCACATTCTATACTGATTTCAGGAATAGAAGTCACTTGATGGCAAATCAATAAAATGTTTACCTTGTTTTCTTCTGTAATGGTATTGGATATTGATTTTCTGCACTAAAAAAGGGAATCTTAATAGTGCTTTTATATCAAACCATTGTATAAATGGAACAGATTATAAAACTTTCTTGCCTTTTAATACCTTGCAGGCATTTTTCTAGTTCCTTTAGGTAAATGTGTATTTTGTAGTTGACCTCTCTTATGTTGCTATTTATATGCTTTCTAAGCGATGTCTCTTTTTCTGTTTCCATTCAATGATTTATAGCAATTACACATCAGATTCTTTTTTTTTTCCCCCAAACTTCTCAGAGACCTGGCTGCTGTGCCTACCTCTAGATGAGATTCTTTTTGTGTTACTGCCATTTTCTTGTCAAGTTAGCTGTTTTGGGTGCAGGGGGGTGACGGTAACGATTGCCTTTAAAACAGGAAAGTAATTTGGAAAATTCATTCCTAATTACTAGGTAAATACTAAAAAAATTTAAGTGTGCTAGAATGGTCATTTTTACTATTTTTGCTACATTTAGGAGGATATTCTATCATGTCTGCTGATAACAAATAAGTAACAGTGTGTACTATTAGAGTTATAGCTACCTTGATTTAAAATTAAAAGTTGAATAATTTAATTTTCAGGCACCAGCTGTAGATGTTGTTGCTGTTGGCCTTATGTCAGGTCAGGTGTTTATTCACAACATTAAATTTGATGAAACATTAATGAAGTTTCGTCAAGACTGGGGACCTATTACTTCCATATCATTTCGGACAGGTAATTTTTATCTTACTATTGGGGGTGGGGAGAATTGTTAAATTTAGTGATACATGTTTTTTTGTTTTTTGTTTTTTGAATAACAGATGGTCATCCAGTGTTGGCAGCTGCAAGCCCATGTGGCCATATTGGGCTATGGGACCTAGAAGACAAAAAATTAATTAATCAAATGAGAAATGCACATTCTACTGCAATTGCTGGGCTGACATTTCTCCATAGAGAACCACTTCTTGTCACAAATGGCGCTGACAATGCTCTCAGGGTACAATTACTGTTATTTGACTTAGCTGAGTTACCTTTTGGGTTACAAACCTGCTTTAATATATTGGCATTGAACCTAGAGGATAAGAGGACTATGAGGTTAGATATTGATAAGATGAAACATAAAGACAGTAGGCTTCATGATGGCAATGATGTGAGAGTTATAGCTAGCGTATCTGTTCCTCTGCTCACATTCCAGCATCTGCAGATATACCCAGTAGTTAACTTGTTTTCTTGCAGATCATTTAACACATTGTAGAAGAATTCTACTTTTTCTTTTTCTTTTTTTTTTTGACAGATATGGATATTTGATGGTCCCACCGGTGAAGGACGTCTTTTGAGATTCAGAATGGGACATAGTGCTCCTCTTACCAGAATCAGATATTATGGACAAAATGGGCAACAAATTCTTAGTGCAAGTGAGTGTTTGCTTTGTGCTATTCATCTGTTACATCAATATGGAGAGCAGGATGCTTCCTAGTTATTAGGTTTGATATTTGACCCATTTTTAGATTCAAATATCCCCTTGAAACATTTGAAAAATCTGGGTAAAATAAAGCTATTCTTTAGAATACTTGAGGAAGCACTGTAGATGATAGTATCTTTATTAGAGTGTCCTTAGTACGAATCCTCACAGGCAGAATAGTTAGCCTTGAAAATGTGTCTTTTACCTACTTGAATACTTTAAAAATTAGTGGTAACTCATTTTATCTTTTGTTCTTATTAAATGGCACTCTGTGCAAAGTTGAACATTGCAATTTGGCTCTCTTTAAAGTGGTGCAAACTGCAGCATCCTTTTTTTTTTTTTATAACAGTTTATTTTTACATCATTTTGTACATTTTTTTCCATCTCAATTGTAATACCCCCGGGTTTCCTGTCACCAAGTCACCCATGTGCCATCACCATAGTCCCGTGCACTTCCCTCCCCACCCCTCTGTTTTTGATACCATTCCCCACTCCACCCCTACAAAATGTCTCATTATTCTTGTTATTTTCTCGACTGGTCCATTATATAATTCCTTTAAAAAGTGGTATAATACAGTAGGTAATTGCAATTTGGGATCTAGAATTGGTCTGTCTCGGTTCTGCTAATTACCAACTTATTTGTTAATGTGACCTTAGATTTGTTATCTACATAATTCACTTTCTTAGTTTTTTATCTGTGAAATGTTGATAATAGGTACCTACTGGTGCTGAGTATTAAATAAGTCACTTTATGGATTTATAATAGTGTGAGGCAGAGAAGGAACGTAGTAAATATTACTTGTTAACATTTCACTTTTTAAATGTTACTGGTTTTGTTTTCCTCAAAGAAAAGCTTTCAACTATTTTTCTTTTTTGTAGTAAACTCCTGTATACATTTCCAGGATGGGAAGTTGGAGTGACAGCTCTTCAACAGGTTAGTATTTTTCTGTTATGTGAAAGAAATAACAAGGCTAGTAATAGGATCTTTCATTTTCATGAGGCCAGCCCTTAAAATTCAGATCAAAAATAATATGTAGACTAGATCATCTGAACAGTGTTTTTATGAGTCTGCAAAATATGCGAGAATGAATGAATGAATATATAGCCATTGTAATCTCTCCATACATTCATTGCTTGTACTCACTCAGTTTATATGCATTCCTTCATCTTTTGTCACTACTATTTTTTTTTTTTTTTTT